GGCGTTCTCTTGATGAGTACATCAAGGAAAGGCAGCTGCTGCTCTTGTTCTTTTTTCCGCGCGAATTGTATGTCAGGGAATATTCCATTGAGCAAGTCATGGAAGTTTTGCAGCATATGTCTCTTGATGATGACAAACGTGTCATCGACGAAGCGGCGCCAGAAGACGGGCTCATGTTGGGCGAAGACGATGTTTTCTAGCTCCTGTAGAACCAGTTCTACCACTAAGCCGGAGATCGGGGAACCCATGGGAGTTATTTTAAGCTGTTCGTACGTTTCTCCAGCAAAGGTAAAGTACGTTTTCTGGCAGAATTCGAATAACCTCATAAGGTTTTCAATTTTGAGTGGGCATCGAGCCTCATCTTATGTCTCTTCAAGTCTCTTGCGCTAGACTTCGTGCGCCAGATTTGATGGTATGGATGTGAATAAAGAAGTCAGATCGAAAGAGACCATGATTTCGTCCGATTGAATCGTCCGACCTCGAGGGTCCTCAGGTAATTGAGAGTCTGATTGAACTGAGGTAGTCGAGTCGCCTTGGAGGAATTTCACAGCCCGACGGATAGAGTTGAGAGGCTGGAAACCAAGGCAAGCTCTGCTGTGCCTCAAACATGTACTTACTCGGAATAGTTGAAACCAAGATTCACACTGCTTGCCGAGATCAGGGGGTGGGAGCCCTAGCGTTGGCTAACTCAGCGTCGCCTCGGACAATTGGTAGCGCCAGTGCTAGCATCAGTACTGCTACACTCCATGTAGAGATTGAGGGGATATGAGCCCAGTGCTGACTTTAATCAGCGTCACTTCCGACTTACAATACAGTTAGTAATAGTACCAGCAAATACTATCACTCAGCTACACCCTAGTTAGTAGCATAAGAAATAACAGGTACTAACTGCCCTGGCTTCCGAAAGTCTGGCTAGACACCTACTATAGGTGAGTGAGGGTAGACAAAGCAGTAGTACCCGCGCAAAGTCTACTGTCACTAAAGGCTAAGCTAGACGGTATTTCAGGCCGCATTGGAGAAAACTGCTTCCACCCAAAGCCTGCTTTGGTCATCTCGACTTCGATCTTGTCACCGGTCAGAGCGGTTAGGGTAAGAGTGTGGAAGATCGCGGCGTGCCTACTTTCACTTTACTTGACTAAAGTCACCTGCTTTCGGGCAAATGGTTGACATCTTCGCTTGCGATGGTCGAACTAACACACGACGTG